ACACATCATATAAAGTACAACAATATACATTCTCAATCCCAAAATGTTTCAAATGTTTAAGATATGGTCTTGGAATTCTAACCTGCAAAACAAATCCAGATGTAGCAAATGTAGCCAGTTTGATCACAATTACAAAGATTGTACTAATAGCCTGTTCTGTTTTTATTGTCAAGAAAACCACCCATCAAATACAAACACATGCAGAATACACAAAATGGCACAACAAATAAACACCCAGAACATAACACCTAATAATATAGACATAAAGAAACTGTTTCATGAATTGAAACCTCTCTCCAAACAAATACACAACTCTAACATAAACCCCACACAAAACCTAACACCAAATCACACACAATAACACACACACACAACGAAAATATAAAACCACCCTCACACACTCAACAAACTGAAACCAATACACCCCAAACATATGCCCAAGCCATAAGTCAGCCCCATAGCCTGACTGCAGGGCAGAGAACCCCCCTCCCCCAAAAAAGGACAGAATCAAATGAATATCAGACAGAATTACAAATCACACCAAATAAGGGAACTCAAACAAAAAAGAAAGAATCACACAAAATACCATCAGAAAAGATAATAAACAAACAAATGTTGATAATTCTCCAATAACATGGACACTGCCAACCCCTTTAAAAGATAATAAATCAAAGAAAGAAATAGAAATTAAAAATAAAGAAGACATCTCATGGATAGAAATAATAAAGAATACTGTAACAACAGTTGCAAATATTATAGACAACATAAACTCAGAAAAAACAATCATTGAAATAATAGCCGAAACAATTAAAGAAATAACCCCAATATAAAAAAAAATCATGTTAATATTAAATGAATAAAATTATCTTATGGAATTCAAGATCAATACTCAATAAGGGCATAGAATTAAATCATTTAATAAATAAAGAACAACCAGATGTAATAGCATTATGTGAAACCTGGCTAAAAGACAAAGATTCCTTCAAATTAAAAAACTATGTAATCATTAGATATGACAGACCAGAAAAAATAGGAGGAGGATTAGCCATTTGCATTAAAGATGATATACAGTATAAAAAAATCAACCTAAGAGACAGATTAAGAGACAGAATTGAAGCAATGGGAATAAAGATTAATTACAAAAATAACTGGATGAATGTCTTACTGATTTATAATCCCTGCAACAATTCAACCCAAAATGAAATAGAATATTACTTAGAACAATTAAGTGATCCAAAATTAATAATAAGAGATTTTAATACACACCACACAAGTTGGAACCCAAATTTGAGACAAAATCATACAAACAAAACAGGAAAAAGTTTATTCAAAGTTTTAGCAGAAAACAACTTAATGCTATTAACTCCTCCTGGCCAGGTCACCAGAATCGACCCTAGAAATGCAAAAGAATCAACACTAGACTTAGTCCTAGCTTCCCCAACTCTAGGTCACCTGGAAATCGACTCAGGCCCAAACCTGACTAGTGACCACTTACCAATAATTGTACGGAATAACACCACAAAAAACCCTCCACAATCAAAAGAAAAAAAATGGAAATTCAGTGATGAAGGATGGAAAAAATATAAAAAAGAACTAAATAATACAGATACGAATAACATAAACTCAATACATGAATTGAAAGCCCCTATAAAAAAACACAGGGAAAAAATATTTCAAATTTGTAGAATATGAAACAAAATCCAAATTTCACAAACCATGCAAAGAAATAAAAAAAAAAAGAAATAGAGCTTACAATAAATGGAAAAAAGTCCTAATAATGAAAACCTAGAATATAAAAAAATATTAGCAGAAGCTAGAAAAACAATAGAAAAAGAAAAAAGAGAATCTTGGGAAAATTTCTGCAGTTCAATAGATTTTAATACCCCAACAAAAAAAAATTGGAACTTTATTTTAAAAATTGACAGGAAAGGCAACACAAGTTAAATATCCTTTAATTGAAAATGACCAACCAGTCACAGAAACAGAAAAGAAATTAGAAATATTCAAAACAGAATACCAAAAAATAGCAAACAAAAATAGAAAAATCATGTTAACAGATACAAAAAGAGAAGAAATATTAAATAACCCCAGTAACTTAGAAATAAATGATATGATCACAAAAAAAGAATTAATCATAGCTATAACAAATACAAAAAATAATAAAGCATATGGACCTGATGAAATTCCCTATGAATTTTACAAAAATTCTCCCCCCAAAATATTAGAAATAATAACAAAACAAATAAAGTATTATTGGTCTAAAGGAGAATACCCACAAGACTCAAAAAACGCAATAATAAATCCTATCCAAAAGCCTGGGAAAAATCCAACAGAATCAAAGTCATATAGATTCATAAGCAGAATAGATTGCTTAGGAAAAATATTTGAAAACATAATTATAAAAAGATTAAACTGGTGGTTAGAAATAAACAATAAACTAAACATAGATGTAATAGGATTTAGACCAAACTTTACAACAATAGATGCTTTAAAAACGATAGAAACACACACAACTAATGCAATCAAAGATAAAACTTATATCCTAGTGGCATGCATAGATCTAGAAAAAGCATTTGACACAATAAATCATGATGCATTGATAATAAAATTGGCCAACCTTGGAATACAATGAAACCTACTAAAATGGACACATATTTAAAAAAAAAAAAGAACATTCCAAATAAAGATAGGGAACAAAAACTCTACAAAAGGAACAATATCATGTGGTGTACCTCAAGGATCTCTATTAAGTCCAACTCTTTTCAACATTATGATAAACGACCTAAAATTAACAAAAGAACTAAAGAAAATAATATACGCAGATGACATAACAATAATAACCACAAGTAAACACCTAAATGAAGCAATGAATAATATAGAAAAGGGTTTAAAACAAATAAAAAAATGGCCAGACACCTGGGACCTAAAGATCAATCTAACAAAAAGTAAATTACTATATTTTACTAACAAAAGGAAAATACAGCTACCAAAGATTAAGATAGAAAATATAGAAATAGAATTTACGGACAGTCAAGACATCTTGGGATTAAGATTCGATTCACCAAAACTAAACTGGTCAAAACACATAGAAAACATCAAAGAAAAAACAGTTAATAGAATAAATATAATGAAAAAAAAATCCTCATATAACTGGGGAGCAAAGAGAGAATCTCTACTAAAATTTTACAGTATTTATATAAAACCAAAAATAGAATATGGTTTGAACATATATGGAACAGCAAAAAAAAAACAATGCTAAATAAGATAGAAACGATACAAAACACAGCTCTGAGAATATCAACAGGATGCTTTAAATCCACCCCAATAATATCACTCCAAGCCCTAACAAACAAACCTTCAATAAAGGAAAGAGTAAATGAATTAGCTTGCATTCAGCTAGCAAAGTTACTGGAAAAAACAAAAGACATGCCAGTGAAAGAAATGATAATCTACCTTGGTATATATCCCAACACATTTTTTTTATGGATGGCATAACAGAAAATATGCCAGATCAACTAATACAAAATCATTTTCACATGATTGAAAACACCACATAAAAATACCACAGAGAAATATTCACAGATAGATCTAAAATCCAAAATTCAAACTCATCTGCTGTGGTTTATTCAAGCGATAGCAATCTCACCACATTATGGGCACTCCCATCAATATCAGAAATTTTAGAAGTTGAATTATAAGCACAGATTAATAAATATCCAAAATAACATAATAACAGAAGCAGTGATTTTCACTAACTCAAAATCAGCAATACTCTCATTAAAGAATCGCAAACTAAAAACAAACAACTGATATATGAAATACAAACACTTCGTATACACACTAACCATTCAGAATCATAAAATCATATGACAATGGATCCCAGCACATAAAAGCAGGTAATAAAATTGCTGACTTAGCAGCAAAGAAATCTCACAACACAGTGAACCCTTAAACATATTCATGCCACTAGAAATATCATAAAAAAATAAATAAATAAATAGATAAACAGCCAAAAGATTTAGGAAATTGATCCAAACAATATCCTAAACTCAAAAAGGTTAATGTTACCAAGAATGACCAACCCACAGAGATAGAGGGAAATGGACACTGTCATCTTATAGAGCATAAGAGTCATAAACAACACAGGTACGGTTGCTGCAGCCTTATATCTACCACGAAATTACAAAAATATCCACAGACTGCCATCGCTCAAAGACCAAGTCCAGAGCACCCTCACAAAGCCAGAGTTCTTAATGTCACATTCTCTTAGTTTGCACAAAGTGCTAATAGGGAGGGTATGGGAGGGATTGCCCCCCCCCCCATGTCAAGGTAATAAATAGAATGAAGGAAAGGTTAGATTTGGATTTTTGTGTTCACATAATATCCTGGTTTTGGGAATTTGTCTCTGGAGGCTGCATCTTCACTTCACTGCTCTTCATAACATATATCCACAAAAGACCTTTTAAGCCACAACCTTACATGGAGATGGTGCAGACACAAAGAAGAAAAACAAAACATTTAGATACTTCAATGTCCAAGATTCAACTCACACAGTACTTATTTACTAGATGCTCTAAAGAAAATAAAACACAATAACCCAAATTTATATCTAATTACAGGTACAGATCTGGTTTAACGTTACCAAAAGCAATGTACTGAGATAGAGGGAAATGAACACTGCCATATTCTAGACCATAAAATATAGTATGTAAAACAACATAGTAATAGCTGCTCTGGCCTATTTACCACAATATGCAAAAGCATGCACTGCATATCACCACTCAGACACTAAGTCCAGGGAAAAAATGGAAGGTAGGAAAGGTCAGGTTTGGTTGTTTGGTTCACATGATACCCTGGTTTTGGGACTTTCTCTGGAAGCTGCATTGCTCTCAGTAACACATAGCACAACAAAGAAAATGAGAAGAAAAAGATCCAGGGGAGTTTAAGACCCTAAAAGAATAAGTTCCACAGAAGGGTTGCTGTTCTATGGAAATTCTTAC